TACAGTATGAAGAGAGAGAACACTAACCTTGCTTGAGGCGACTTCTGGCGTGGAGGACAGAAAGGCGGGTGGGGAAGTGGTTATTGTTTGGAGGGAGAGTTTCCCTCCCTACAGGAAGCCACGACCACGTGTGTCAGCAGGGAAAATGGCTGCAGATCCTGTTCATCACCCGATGCAGAGTTCGTGAACAGAAGCAAAATTTTGCAAATGATGCTGTTCGTGACCCAAATTGGTCGTGAACAGAAGCATTCGTGACCCGAGGTACTACTGTATTTGCTGCTGATTGTATTTATCTCTACATTATGCATGTCAGACTTCAAGACCTGTGATCTTCAGGTGTGTTGGGATCATGACTTCCCATACATGGCAATACAGTAGTTGGGAAAAACTACCTTAGAGCACCTTATCTTAAACTTGGGAGTTTACCCTATTGAACCCTGTCAGGAACCAAAAGCTATACTATACTTTTATGATGATCATAAAGCCATGTGGGAGCAACCTCTGTTCTATCAGAGGCTTTTTGTGATAATTGTTGATCCCCTGTTTTTTTTCTCCAGAGGAACGAGGATATATATACGTGGAAGACTCAGCTACATCTGCTCCTACCTACGTCAACTCTGTTTCATGGTCTCCTATGCAATTGCAAACTGATGCCATTCAGAAAGTGCATGTGGAAAGTGACTTCATCTGCCTATATTCCACCACCCTCGGTAAGAGGATCTTAAAAGAAAAATGGTGGGCAGGTGTCAAATGCAGGACAGAACGATAAGAATTGCCATCTCTTTTCTATAGCCCTGGTTACAGGCATTTAGCTGACAAAGCTTTTTACTCTGGCCATATTCACAGATAAGAACAAGCCCTAGCAACCTGAATTCATACAATCCTAAGCCAGTTAGGGCATTATGTCAGCCAATGTCAAAACGTCAGTGCAAAAGATCAGGTCAGATCACTCCAGTATGAACTATCTATTCCTTTCCTGTTTGCTTGGGAGAAAAAAAGAGGATATTAGAAAGAGAGAAAAAGAGTCCCATAGGCAGGTGTTCCCGCCCACTTCAGCCTTGCCTACCATGCTGCCCCAACAGACTACCCTCAAGAAATCTAGCCCCTAACAGAAGGACATTGCTCATCCATGCTCTAAACCATAAAAGCAGGTTTGCAAAGCATGTATGAATATCACAATTCTATGCAGTGCTCAACCCCAAGAGCAAGGGGGTGCCACTCTCCAGCACTGTCTGTCAAGAATTGGCAGCTAACCAGTTAAGAAAACCTGATCTGGACCTCTTTTCTCAGTATCAGAAGTTCTCTGGCATGCTTGCTGCAAAAGGGCTAGTCTTTCTATAGAATTTGTAGAGAATTACTTATCCAGAAAAGGTGATTGATACATTGTGGGGATTTTCACAATACATTGAACCACATACTACCTAAACAGACCGGGTCTGCGTAATATGCAAAGCTACAAAAAAACTGATCGAGATCAACACTAACAAAGATGAGTATGTTGTGTGTACCTAACCTGTTTGTATAGTAACTGAACCATAAGTTAACCAACCTCAGAAAATGGATAATCCACTGATATGGTTAAGCATGTTATGTAAACATAGCCAGAAAGTTATAACAGATATCCTTAAGTTTAAATCTAAGCAACAACAAAAATCAATACGGGAACATAGCTTTAAAGGCAGTCGCTGGCTGAGACTGCTAAAATTTGTAATTCAATGATATCTGGAATGACATGGGTTTTGCACCCCTCTTGAATGATTGTGGAAAGGTGCAGATGCATGAGGAGTAAGTTGCATCTCTCCAAATGTCTATTTTTGCACAGGCAAAGAAAAAGAGAGTGGTTTGCCCTTGTCTTCTTCCAGGATGTTTTTTCAACTTCTCAGTCTAGCTTATAGTTCTGCAGTTATACATTTATATCCCGTGCATTTACTAACCAGATCTGACTAATTTGTGGGGATCAGCCAAAATTTGCTAGATGTCGCAACTTGCTATGGTAGAATCCCAGGGACCTCCAGTGATATGATTTCACCAACCTGGGGAGCTGTTGGCATCCATTGGCTATCATGCCAATAGCTCAGGGGTGTATTTAGGCAGGGAAAGTCCAAGTTCTCCTTCCAGCTAAAACCAAAGAGCCTTCAGTTAAAAGGCTGAGAATTCCTCTTGGGAAGCAGGGTAGAGAATGAAGTCTGAAATCTTGAAGAATAGTTGTTGCTTAAATTCAAATCATTGTTGTCTGCTTAGATCATTTATCCTGGAGAAGCCCTACAACTGGATCAGTCTTCATCAACCAGCTAATAGATAATATCAAGAAGCATGCCTGGAATTGCAATTTGGAAGAGGTCTTCCGGAAGGTAGGCCTGCTAAAGTCTTTCTGCACAAGGCTCTTATATTTGGAATAAAGCTTTTTTACTAATGACCCACTTTGGAATGGCATTATTTGGCCCTAAATCATGTATTTTTTGGCTCTTGTTCCTTTTTTGCCTGCCATTAGTGATAAAATATCAGGTTCAAAACCTTATTGCCCAGCACAGAAATTGAAGAACATAGGCAGGTTCTGCAAGCTTTTATTAATCAACAACTTGGTTGTCTAAATATTGAACAGATTTATCATGCAGAATGTATTTGAAGATATCCTTTTTGTGATTATGGTGAGCAAAAAAAGAAAGCAAGACTTGGTGGTGGGCAAAAACTTTTAGTAGGCAAAAAAGGAACAAGAGCTTCTTTTTTTTTGCATAAACCGCTTCTTCCCCCACCTGCTGCCTTCAGATATCTTTGATTTCAACTCCCATAATCCCTAGCCAGCAAGGCATCCAGTTGGAGGAAAGCTAACAAAGAGCTGCTATCATGTCATTGTTTTTGCAGTTGGATCTGATCAAAATTATCCCTAGCATTCTATTTCTGATAATTAAATAGCTTTGAAAATAACCAGACACCAAACATATTGCTGCCCAGCCCAAATTAAAAAAAAAATCCCTTTGAGAATATGATCCAGAGTACTTTAATTCTGTGGGGGTTCTGAACTGCCCTTCTTCAACATTTTGCACCCCTTCTTTATCTACAGTCTCTGGATTGCAACAGTAAACAAACAAACCTGGCTATATAGCTTCTCTGCCTGGTCATGAGGCTGGCAAGCTTAAGAAACAAGAACCACGTGGATTTCTGGAAAGATTTTTATTGGTAGTGGGGTAATGTAACAGAATCATGAAAACCTATCAAAGTAATTCTCCTGTACAACTTCTATCTAGTGTACTTACAATGGAGTTACTTTGAGTCTTTTTCTCATGCTTCCCCCTTCCCTTGGACTCAAGAATCTGTTTTGTAACAGCTCCTATCTTAAGCATCTTGCTGCCTCCTCTGCGTCCAAGGTCTGTTGAGCATTCCATCACACCAGCAGAGTCACTATATTTCACAGGTAGGCAAATAGAACTTGCTGAGTCTTCCTTCTAGCCAAAAATCTACCAGCCAGGCAGTAAAGTAGAAACAAGTCTATCAACAGTCCAAGGTTCAGCATCGTAACAAAAACATTCCATGCAGAAAAGAGTTTAAGAGAAGAGAAAGACAAAAATGGATATTTTGGATCCATGTAATCGCTCCTGATGAACAAGGCAAGCATTTGGACAGCTGATCACTGAAGCCCACAGAGCAAAGACAATATTCCTGGCAGTGAATATATCAAACTGACCAGCTTTACATTCTGCTGAATTGTATTAGCTAAGTTCAGATTGCCATTTACTTGGAAGCAACACCTGGGTAGACTTGTTATTGCTAAAGAGTATTTCTATACCTTTAAGGCCTGTGGTTCTTGACCCACCATCACTGTTACTGTCTTGGACTTAGAGGAAATCAGGAACTGGGGTTGTAGGTAGTCTAGTGGCAAGGGACAATTCTTCCACATGTGCTTGACTGGGTCCTAACTCTTGGTCCCGATCAGTCTCCAAGGCTTCCCCACCTCCTCCTAATCCCCTGAAAATGAATTCTTGGGTGGGGATGGGAGTATGATATACGACTTAAGGACTGAACAAAAACAATACCTTTTAAGACTAACAATTTTATTTTAAGGTATAAACTTTTGGGAATTGCAGCTCACTTCATGAGGAGCATGGAGTCACCTGACTAATGTGGGATTTAAATACATTGGAATGAGGTGTGGGCAAAAGATAGGATGGTTATGCAGATGAAGGTTCCAATGGGGAAAGATTACAAGCACCCATCAGTTAATAACTGTAATGTATTATGCCTTAAGATAAAATTGTTATTCTTAAAAGTTGCTATCAGACTCTTTCTGATTTTGGGCTACCATAGTCTAACCTGATTCTTCTACAATGTCTGGTTAGTAAAGTGTGCATGCGTAAGCTAGTAAAATATATTGTGAGCTACTAACTTTTAGATGGGGCTAGCTGACTTTCTTGGATGTGCTCTAACAAGCTTTTGTTTCTGTACCTTCCATGTTGCAGGTGCTGCAGCACTTTACAAGCAACCCATGTCAGATGCCCTCAAAAGATAGAACCACCTTGACTAAAAAGTTCTACCTCTTCCCAGGACATTGAAGACAGGTAAGTGTTTCTCCTTGCAGCTGTGTCACCAAATTTTGGGATATCTGGGGGCAAAAGAATGAGGGACAGCTAAGCCAGCTGATTTTCCTTGGAGCTTTGGGTGAATCTGAAGCCCTTTTATGACAAATCAGGAAATCCCTTGTTCAAATTTCACCACTACCATGAACTCACTGTGAGGTCTTCAACCTCTCTCCCTCTGTGTAACATGGAGGAAAATGATCCTTTTTTTTTTTTTTTAACAGCAGGAGTAGAAAATTCACAAGCCATATGCAGGCTCCCCCATTCCCCAAGTAATGCATTTGAGAAATTTCTGAACATGAGCAGAACAACTTTCTGCTGCATTTTGAAGAAAAAGAAATTTGTCACTGGAAAGATTGTCAAAAATATACAGAGCAACTTCAAATATACTGTGTGTTGGAAATGTGAACAACAAGGAGGACTTTTTATCATCTTTGGTGGACATGTAATAAAGCTAAAAAATTTGGACTCAAATATATATACTAATTTAGAAGATTTTGAAGATTAATATTCAATCAAAACCAGAAACATTTCTTTTGGGGCTGAATGATAAACAGTTGGAAAAATCTCATGGATCTTTGTTTCTATATATGATAACTGCATTGAGACTTTTATATACTCAAAGGTACATATAAAAGTCACTATTACCTACAATGGATGGTAAAGTTGATGGAGCTGGTTGAGATGGCAAAACTGACAGTTTGGATTAGAGAAAAGT